GTAAAAGGCGCTAAGCGATGCAACATCTCTACGCAGTTGCAGAGGTTCAAGGCGTGATGAGACCTCTTCGTCGCCTATAATTCGAGTAGCACGACGCTGTAATTTATCCAAGGCATCGAGTAGGTACTTGGCGGAGCCGTCCCACAAGTGCGAACAATACTCAACGCAAGACCGGACCTGTGTTTTGTACAGCAGGCATAACTGGTCCGGCGTGAAAAAACGTCGCACCTTGTTCAGGACTCCGAGTTTCCGTGAGGCTGTTTTGATCACAGATTCGATGTAGCTCCTTGGATTCAAATCACAGCAGATTTCCATACCGAGCAAGGTAAAACTGCTCTGAGGTGAGAGTGCTGTGCTCATCAGAGAAGGCATGGGAAGGAACGGCGACAATTTTGTTGTTAACGCGCAAACCTGTGTTTTCTTGGCGTTGAACTCAACAAGATTTCTAGATCCCCATGCAGAGATGAGGTCCAATATCCTATTGAGCTCACCGACAAGATTAGATCGCTCTCTGTCAGTATCGGCGCGCCCAGCTGCGGGGAATCCGTGATATCCCCCATGAACAGTGCTATCATCTGCATAACAATGAATATTCCCAAGTGGAAGCATATCATTGATATGCAATAGGAAAAGCGTGGGAGATAGGACGGATCCCTGCGGTACGCCGGCGTTCACATTCATGAACCTCGAAATGCTGCCGTCAGAAACGACGCGTATTCTCCGCTCACGAAGGAAATCGGCAATCCAGCTGCATAACTGGGCTGGCAAACCGTACGCCGGGAGCTTGGAGAGAAGAGCTTTGTGCCAGACCCGATCGAACGCTTTGGCTATATCGAGGCTAACAGCCAACGACTCGCCACGTTTGTCTATAGCCTCACCCCAAATATGCGATAAGTACGCTAGAAGGTCACCCGTTGATCGTTTCGGACGAAACCCATACTGCCGATCATTAATTATGGAGTGATCTTCTAGGTATTGGGTCAGTTGTTTGTTAAGGATCCGCTCTAAAACCTTGCATATTATGGAAGTTATGGCTATGGGACGGTAATTATGCGGGTCTGATCGGTCGCCTTTTTTGGGAACTGGTTGCACATTAGCCTCTCTCCAAGAGTCCGGCACACGACCTGAAGAGAGTGACAGACGATACAGTCGCGTTAGCACGGGGGTCAACTCAGCTGCGCAGCTCCTAAGTACAATCGCTGGGATACCATCAGGACCACTAGCTTTCCGGACGTCGAGAGACTGCAGCTGCGTACGCACATCGCATTGTCTGATACGAATATCAGACATCGTGTAGCCACAGTGAGGTAGAGTTGGTGGCTGTGCGTTACAGTCGTCGAGACAGGAGTTAGCCGCAAACAGATTTGCCAAGAGGTCGGCTTTATCTTGCGGCTTGTGGGCTAGATTGCCGTCAGAATATCTCAGCGGGGGCAGCGAGGGCTGGCAGAAGTTCGACGCAACGGCTCTGGCCAGACGCCAGTAACTACGACTACCAGTGGGATGCGTCAGGAGTTCTTGGCCAACTCGTGCGACGCGCTGAGCATCCGCTCTGATGTACGCTCTTTTGCAAGACCTGGTGGCATTATTGTAGGCTGTTTTAAGTGAGTTCGTATTGGGATCGTCTGAAGCTCGACCCTTGATCCAAGCGCGGTATGCAGTCTGTTTGTTCTCAACAGCCACAGCACACTCGCGGTTGAACCAACGGTTGCGCCTCCCTTTACTGACGACATCCGAATGCGGGATGTAGTATTCCATCCCGATTAAGATCTCATCAGCAACGGCAGTCGCGCTAGCTGTTGGATCCACCTCACTAAAACAGCGCTGCCGCCAAGGAACGGATGCAAAATAGTCCCGCATACCGTCCCAATCTGCCGACGCATAATGCCAAATGCGGCGTTTAGCCACAGTAGGTGGTGGTGGAAGTAACGTTGCCACTTTAGTGGATATCAAGCAGTGATCCGAAGTGCCCAGAGGGGCTTGGACCTCCACCCGATATCCAGCCGGGCGAGACGTCAGCAGAAGGTCCAACAAAGAGGGCGCGTCACCAACCCTATCTGGTATCCGGGTGGGCTGGTTTACCAGTTGGGTTAAATCGTGTGTGAGAGCGAATGTGTGGGCAGTTCTTCCAGCATGGTCAGTTTTAGAGGAACTTAACCACGACTCGTGGTGAGCATTGAAGTCCCCTAAAAACACCAATTCCGCTGTAGGAAACTGCGCCTGCGCGTCATCTGCCGCCCGAGTAAGGTGGTCTATGAGACGAGTTGTCTCCATGTCGCCGTGGTGGGATCTGTAGAGGCACATGTAGACACGGCAATGACTGCCCAGGTCAACATGTACCCCAAGGATGGAGAAGGAGGGGTCCTCCAAATGACGCAGACGGCGACAGCAAACATCTGCCCGGACAAACAAGCAGACCCCAGCTTTCGCTTTGAAGGACTCTTCAAGCATATAGCCAGGGTAATTCAAGTAGCTGCTGTCAGCCGGGCAGATTATTTGCGTCTCCGTAAGGAACAGCATTTCTGGTCGAGCCGTCTCAAGATGTTGGTGGACGGCGTGGATGTTACTGTGGAGTCCTCGAATGTTCGTGAAATCCACCTTAAAGAGCGCTTTAGTGGTGGGGGTGTGCACCGCTGTACGACCGAAATTTGTACTTTGCGCTAACATGTTGGAGGGAAAAAGAGGCGTGAAGCGAGAAAACAGTGCCGCGACACAAGCGGTCAAATCGCGGGGCCTGCTTCCCCAGAGACTTGCCTACAGACAAGTTGCGCTGATCCGCCGGACGGAAGGGCCCCCGAACCCCCCCGGGAATGGCCGCCGGGACCCCACCTCCCGGTCACCAACCGGCACGACGAACCACACCGAGATTATGCGCGGTATGGTGAGGCAGCCTCTCG